CTTTCTACTCACCCACCAACATTTTTGTATTCAGTTTCCTTCCTTATTTTTTGTCTGCATTCTTTCTTTCTTTCTTTCTTTCTTTCGTGCAATATTTCTTTCCTTTCGTGCCATCTTTCTTTCTTTCTTTCTTTCTTTCTTTCGTGCAATATTTCTTTCCTTTCGTGCCATCTTTCTTTCTTTCTTTCTTTCTTTCTTTCTTTCTTTCTTTCGTGCAATATTTCTTTCCTTTCGTGCCATCTTTCTTTCTTTCTTTCTTTCTTTCGTGCAATATTTCTTTCCTTTCGTGCCATCTTTCTTTCTTTCTTTCTTTCTTTCTTTCTTTCTTTCTTTCTTTCGTGCAATATTTCTTTCCTTTCGTGCCATCTTTCTTTCTTTCTTTCTTTCTTTCTTTCTTTCGTGCAATATTTCTTTCCTTTCGTGCCATCTTTCTTTCTTTCTTTCTTTCTTTCTTTCTTTCTTTCTTTCTTTCTTTCTTTCGTGCTATATTTCTTTTCATTCGTGCCATCATTCTTTATTTCTTTCTTTCTTTCTTTCTTCTCACCTACCAACATTTTTTAATTCAGTTTCCTTCCTTCGTTGAATTTTTGTCTCCATTGTTTGTTTGTTTGTTTGTTTGTTTGTTTGTTTGTTTGTTTCTTTCTTTCTTTCTTTCTTTCTACTCACCCACCAACATTTTTGTATTCAGTTTCCTTCCTTATTTTTGTCTGCATTCTTTCTTTCTTTCTTTCTTTCTTTTTGAATTTCTTTCTTTAACGTTTTTCTCTATTTCCTTTCTTTTTTTTTACTTTTAGTCGTTCTTCAGTTATTAGACACAGTCTTCACTTTTTCGCTGAGTTCATTTATTAATTAAATATTCATTGTATTCAGTTTCCTTTCTTTTATTTCTTTATAATTTCCTTTCTTTTTCTCCCTTGTTCCTTCTTTGTCTTCCATTTTCCACAACATTTATTCCCTATTCTCTTTTCCACTAAATGTATTTATTAAATACAATTCTTTATTTCCTATTCTGCATTATTCTGTTATTCTTTCAATCATTTACAGGTTTCTTACTATATTTATTTACTTTTTATTAATTTTATTTACATTACTTTCTTACATGTCTGCCTAACGAAATTTGAATAACACAAAAAGATGAATAAATAAAACACTTTACATATATGTAGCGTGTATCAAAAATCAGTTTTACAAACATTTGGGGCGGGATACTGACAAGTTAAAATTTTCCTATAAACATATGACCAAGAAGGCCTCGTTGCACATCAATGAACGCTATGATATTGATAAATAATATGACGTTCATTAGATTTTGTGTTTTTTACATAAAGCGTTAAGAGTTCAATTAAAGGCGCTACATGTTATTTT